TCTCATTTCTTTGCGAGTCACAGCCGCTCTCTGATTGGTCGCCGCCACCCGGTCTGCTGCGCTCGACTTGGACTGATGCTACTGACATAAGGGCGCACCTCAATTTTCACATGAACCCTGTTTCACGAATGAATCCATTCTTTCAGTATCTCATGCGGAAATAGAGATGCACCTTTACATTCGAGGATACTTGCAACAACGTCGTTTTGACTGCGAGTATTTCAATGTCAGGAGCGCGTTACCTTGGAAGCTTCGGTCAGGAGTACTGGACACACCGATCAACACTATTAGTACGTTCCGTCCACGTCTGGCGCCACACGGTTCTGTTCCCTCGTCCGATCGTCGCACAGTACAGCGAGTCAATGGGAGAGGTCGGACATGATATAAAACTTTACAGGGTTGCCACAGAATTTAGAAAATGAAATTCCCTCACATTTCCCAGACACATTTTGGTGAAATTTCCTGACAATTGAAGATGTGACGGGTGGTTAAGAAGGCATAATTAAGAAAATTTTCAGGCAAAATTTGTTGTTCGAAACCTCAAACCCAAAACAAAGAAACAAAACAAATGAAGAAAACAAATAAAGGGGATTTAAAAAATTTTCTCTGACATTTTCGTCATTTTCCCTAACATTTCCCGGTTTTTCCTGAGTTTTTAAAAGTCCCTGACATGTTCCGGTTTTCTCTGACTGTGGCAACCCTGACTTAAGAGGCGTAGCTCTTCATTGATATGAAACGTTGCATATGAAAATTGCATTGCCCTATTAAATTTGGCAATAGCTGATGTGGCTTGGTTTCTTTCTGTTTAACGCGGTCCAGTTAGAGAGTGATTTTTGAACTTTTTCTCTTCTCTCTTTCTTTGATGTCAGTATAAAAAACGCGATAAGGCATTTTCCCTGAAATTGTGCACCTGGCATCAGACTGTTACGAAAACCGGACCTTTAAACTTCAAAAAGGACTTGAATTTACCACGACTGAAATTTGGCTCAGCCGTGTCCATTAGAAGAGAATACATGACCATTGTGCGGCGAGCGGTGCGTCGGGACGTTGATTGACCACCGATAACGCGGATTGCTACCGCATCTTCAGGTTCCGTTTCCGCCGTCGCTCCTGTCGCACAGTTGTCATGTTTACCTAAAAACTATCCATTTCTTTCACAGAAAAATTGACGTTTATCCGCGTCCAAAATTTCGCGCCAGCGCGCAAACATTCACGCAGACACATCTCGACTAACAAGAAAACCCTCTGGAAAACGTCCGCAGGTCTGTTTTGTCGATATACTCGGCCAATCTAGACGAGCACCGAACACCTATTATTCGATTGGGCTAGGCGCTGTTTTCCGACCGGATTTTAGAGTCTAATATTAGTCTGAAGTTGCTCTGAATAATGGACAGGTGAAGGTCACATTCAATCGATCACATACTATAAGTTTCGCCCACTCATGCTTACCTGATCAATCAGAATGTTTTAAAATGTGTCAAAAAATGGTGCGCAAAGGGGGAAAAAACTAATACAGACCGGAAAAAAAATCTTGGGTTGGACCTGGGAATTTTTTAGACGAATCGAACATCCACGAGAATAGAGACTTAAGTCAACAGAGGCAGAATGGATGATTTGCGCCGGTCACAGAATCGTGTTTTGGTGCTTGATTCTTGTAGATCAGCGAAAAATAATAAGACCGTTCAAATAACAGCAACTTTCTATGTTCAGTATAAACCGAGATATCGCGTTTTGAAAAATTCGGTTTAACACGTCATCCACCGCGGTAGTGACACCCTCAGTTCCTTCCACCTTGCTTTCATCAGTCGGTGTGATGCACATTTACACTGGATGTTCAACTTGGATCTCGAATGGATTAAGTTAGCGCCTGCAAGACTGTGGGAATACTTCACGCATTGCACCAAACAGTGCGGTCTGCGTGAACCGCATATTAGCGCCTACAAGACTGCATGGATACTTCTCGCATTGCGCTAAAAGCAGTGCAGTCGGTCAGTTGACGTGAACCAGTAACCAGTGCAAATGTGTGTTTCCCAGACTGATGAAAGCAAGGTGGAAGAAACCAAGAGTGTCACTACCATGGTGGATGGCGTCAGAGACCGAATTTTTCAAAACGCGATATCGTCACCTTCCGGCTAAAGTATCAAAAGCGACATGCGACACTCAAAGATTTCCGCCGCCATTTTATTCTCTTACAGAGAAATTGTTCAACGAGGCTGTCCGAAAATTTCACTGAATTTTCTTTGTGCTGCCGATAAAACTCCGTAAAATTTTCAAACAGATTCAACCAACAATTTCTCTGTAAAAAAACAAAATGGCGGCGGAAATTTTGAAACTTCGCGTGGCGCTTGTGATACTTTGGCCGAAGGGTGAAGATATCTCGATTAATAATGAAAGCAGAGTCGCTGTTTGGACGGAAAGCATTATTTTTAGCTGATTTTGAAGAAACAAGCATCGAAACACGATTCTAAGCCCTGCGCAACTCTGCCGTGCTAAGGAGAAACGCCGTATGAGCTTTCAGGCGTTGCCAAGCTTCCTTCGATGAAACACAAATTTCCAGGTAAATTTATGGATATTTTTCTTCCAATTTGCCGGACAATTTTGCTCGCAATTCCGCCGAAAAATCCTGAAAATTTCAAGGAAAAAAATTCTTAACTTTTCTCAAAAATGAACATTTTATCGAAGGAAACTTGGCAACTCTCGAATGTTCGTACGACGTTTTTCCTTATCCCAGCGCAACTGACCCATTGCCAAAAGAGCGATTTTTGAGATTAGTGATAAGATTGGGTCAGAAACGAGAGCACTGCCAATTGGGGAGCGGCTGTTATCGACCTTTTTTTGCTCATGGTCGAAAAATTCAATTTCGAGACTTGGGTGACAAATTCTCTTTAGTGCACAAAAAGAGGGCGCTAAAACACGTCGCACTCTTGAGGGTTGAGGGCTTAAAAAGTACGCACTTGCGTGAACTTGGAACTCCAAGTACGTGACTGTCAACAAACCAGATGAGAGGAATTCGTGATTTCGAGGCAAGAATGAATACTATCTCCAGAAAAAGTGTAATTCTCCACAAAGATTCATTAAAGTCGGTTTGAAACTCATTTCCAAAATTGTAAATAACAATTTCTTGTCACGTATACAGCTCTGTCGCAATATACATAGTCTCTTTATGCTGAGCTCTGAGGGATCGATGAAAGGCTGAAACCCGCAGGCCAATCAGAAAGCAGCACAGTTTTTCTGTACTCTCCTTGATGTGCAGATTCTAGGGGCAGGTTGAGGGTTATAGCATCAAATTTGCNGGGGGGGGGGGGGGGTTGAGAGCCTCTCCTAATGATGATGTAAAAGGTCCAGAAGAAACCCTGAGAGGTTCTGGGACCTTTTCTAAAAAGTTCCGATGAAAACCCCCAAATTTTTCAAATAAAAGGCCTCTGGTAGAGCCTGTAAAGCCAGAATGAGCGGATAAGCTGTCTCGGGATGGAGGCATTTCGACTCAGACGCGGATCCAGCAATCCTCTATTAAAACGTATGGAAATAAATCGATTCATGTCGGGAGTACCTGGCCCCTCCAAAAATCGATATATTCCCATAGGTTTGAGTGGAGAAAAACAGTGTTGTCATATTGCTGGATCCGCCAAAGCATTTCGTCGTTTCCCGGACGATAGGCCAACTCAATTCCAAGGTTGCAAAAGTGACTTGAACAATTTATTTTTTTTGCGAGAATATGCCCGTGCAATTTTTGTCCGAAATCTTTCAAATTTTGGCATAAGATCAGAAGAAAAAGTCGGCGAAATTTTCAGGTAGAAATACCCAAAATTCTCCCATTAAAAATACAATTTGTGAGGGAACATTAGGCAACATTGAGATGTAGTTACGCTCTTCTGTGAGGGGAACGAAAATCGGACGTATTTATGCCAAAAGGAACTATGTGCGTGGTGTTGTTTGCGTGGGACATAGTTCCTTTTAGCATGAATACGTCCTATTTTAACCGTGAGAAAAATGAGTTCGCATAATCCATTATATAAAAGATCCGAGGACCAATCAGGATGGAAGATCCTTATCAAATCCGATAATTACACGTGGATTCGTCGATAATTTTACCTCTCTCACCTGAGTACTTCAAGTTTGTGACTGTAGAGCAAGTGTAATAATTTCTAATCCCCTCGACATCTTCAAGATGCCCCTCCACAATGTAAGCATGATGTAGAGCGGTGACAATATCAACGTTTTATTGAGAGGATATCGAAAATTCATGCAAATGTACTCTGACGTAGAAGGAAAGCAGACTGATTTATCAAAGAAAATAAAGTAAAACATTATCAAACACTCGAGAGCATTTTCAAACATCAGGCAGTATTTTTGCCGGAACAACAGGAAAAACAACAGAAAAAACACACGGGGAAAGTAGCGATAAAATGTTTGGAAAAATTGCTTACTAATATTTCAACTTCTTTCATCTTGAGTATTACTTGATACGTCTACGGATCAAATTCAAGGAATATTCTATTAACTTTCAATTTTTTAAGGTGTAGGACCAGCAGCTCATCTTTAATTTTATGAGTCATTACAATCCGCACTTGACAAGACTGGTCCCTCGTTACTGCAACTTTTCCGCACTGAAAATAATTCATACGCTCAATGCAAAGCTAAGTACTGAGGACCAACAATAAAATCAGGTTTCAAGATTCCAAAGAATAATTTTTTGGGAGGGGGGGGGGGGGGGGAGAATTAAGGAGTTATTTTTCAAATTGTTTCCCCATATTAATTTTCTAAAAAAAACTTGAATTTTATTTTTAAAGGCTGCTGGTAATTTCTAAATGGCTTAATGAACTTAAAAAAATCGGACGAAGCGATAAAAATACTGCCTGAGCAATGAAATATGCGGCGATAATTTTTTACAGTTTAATACTTGAAGAGTTAGGATTTAAGAGTTAGGAGTTAGGATTTAAGAGTTAGGAGTTAGGATTAAAAGTTAGGAGTTAGAGATAATAATTTTTATTTTTACTCACTTGACCATGACGAGATCCGCCCTTTCCGTCCGGACTCCGCTTTTCTTTGGGTCAAATTCTGTAATGATTGGCCGCACATTTTTTCCCTGAAACACACCAGAGGGCAAAAATTTAATGACACAGAACTCTGAAAAATGTTGAAATTCGTGGTCTGTCACGAGCTGTAGCATCAAAATACAAGCAAGTTGGACCAAGTTCAGTAGGAAGGAGACAAGTCGACCCGAGAAAAAGAGGTTTGAAACGGTGGCGTGGCGAACTTGGCGATATATCGATCGATCCGTCATTAAAACGTGCGGTAAAGGATCGATATACGGTGTTCTCCACGAAAACCTTAATAAATGATTTTTAGCCACAGCTTCAAATGAGAAAAATCAATGATCGATCGTTCTGGCCTCGCCACTGGTTTGAATTCTTCCATAGGACTTCATGTTAATGATGAGACTCAGCGCCTACTATTACCGGTAGGACCTACCAGCGGGCTGATTATTGAAATTGATAGACAAAGCGATAGAGAAAGAAGGCATAGGGAGTATGGAGCGATCCTAATGGTTGTTTGGGTGGTTCCTATAGATTAAGAGAGAAAATGATGGACTAACTACCACGCCTTCAAAGGGTTGTCGTTAGTCAGTCTATTCCTACCTCTTTTGTCCATTACAACCACCCGCTCCCTGGTAAAAATTGGCAGTAGAATCTGTGTCCCAAAATACCATAGACCTACAGCCGGCTGTAAGATTTCCAATAGCTTCTATAGCCGGCTACACAATTTCTTATAGCCTTTTATAGCCGATGGCGATTAAGCAACAGCCAGGCGATGAAGTGTATGCTAAACGTTACTAATTACGGATGCTAGGACTTAGTGAGTTTTTGGAATACTGCTCTCTTTTTGGGCCGTAGTATCTTGATTTATTTTGCGAGAAAAGCTCCGTACTTTTGATGGATGCCTGCCATTACTAATATATTAGAGCGCCTTCAGTTTCGTATGATACTGTGCAATACCTCTGGTGTGAAATAGTTGCTTCAAGCGCCGTGACAGGCGGGCAGCCAGCGCAAAACACGCATTAGCGCCTACAAACCTAACAGGGATACTTCACGCGTTGCGCAATTCGTGAAGTATCCCTGTTAGGTTTGAAGGCGCCAGTGCGTCGCCGCTCCGCTTAGTGTTAGGCTCTAATATATATTAGAGCCGAACACAAAGCGATTAAATATACAGATCAAATATATTTAATCTGGCGGAGTCAGCGTTATTCAACTCATGATTTTGAAATGTTTGCACATCGTGTGTGAATTATTCTCATTTTAATTGATGAAAAAAAATATGTATTAAAGGAAAATATGATGTGTGTTTTGTAAATATTAAGGTGGTTCCATATCAAACTTAATGATTTCCAAAGCACACGAATTTCTACACAATTTCTTATAGCCTTTTATAATCGATGGCGAAAAAGCACCAGCCAGGCGATAAAGTGTAAAGCCCTTCGATAGGAACTATAGCCCGGCTGCATAATTTTTTATCGCTTCGTATAGCCCGGCCGTATGATTTTCTCCGCATTCTACAGCCAGCTATATGATTTTCTGTAGCCTTCTTTAGCCGGCTATAAGAATTCCTACGGTATTTTGAAACGCAGCTCTTATCGCCAATTTTTACCAGGGCTTCCACATATGGGATCTCTCCACATCCCTGTTGTCTTCTTTGTCTATTGCTTTGTCTACCAATTTAAACAATCAGCCCGCTGGAATCCACTATGAGCATTGTAAGGGTATCGATTCTTCCTCCGGAACGGACCTACGTTATTTTAACTACGAACTTAATTTCACCACGACTCCATCTTGTCTCGTATACTGCCGTGCTAAGGAAGAACGCCGTATGGACATTCGAGAGTTGCCAAATTTCCCCAGATAAAACATGTATTTTTTAGGAAACTAATGCCTATATTTCCTCGAAATTCTTAGTCACTTCAGGTTAAGTGAAGAGCAAACCCCTCTAAAAACCCGAGGAGAAATATTCTTAAATATTCCTANATAGCCCGGCCGTATGATTTTCTCCGCATTCTACAGCCGGCTATATGATTTTCTGTAGCCTTCTTTAGCCGGCTATAAGAATTCCTACGGTATTTTGAAACGCAGCTCTTATCGCCAATTTTTACCAGGGCTTCCACATATGGGATCCTTCCATATCCCTGTTGTCTTCTTTGTCTATCGCTTTGTCTACCAATTTAAACCAGCCCGCTGGAATCCACTATGAGCATTGTAAGGGTATCGATTCTTCCTCCTTAATGAATCTACGTTTTTTAAAACTACGAACCTCATTTCACCACGACTCCATTTTGTCTCGTATACTGCCGTGCTAAGGAAGAACGCCGTATGGACATTCGAGAGTTGCCAAATTTCCCCAGATAAAACATGTATTTTTTAGGAAACTAATGCCTATATTTCCTCGAAATTCTTAGTCACTTCAGGTTAAGTGAAGAGCAAACCCCTCTAAAAACCCGAGGAGAAATATTCTTAAATATTCCTAAAATTCGCGATTTGCCGAAGGAAATTTGACGACGCCTGATGGCTCATACGGCGTTCTTCCTTAGCACGGCAGTATACATGAGCGTTTTTTGTTCCAAATTGTAAATTAAATAGAATAGAGCACTCCTCAATGTTCTAATATCAAAAACTCAACGTTGCGGTTTTCGAGAACCGAGATCCCTTCATCGCGCTTCCGTCATGAGGAAACACCAACAGTGGCGTGGCGTGAATTGCGATACATCGGTTGTTATGCCATTTAAACCTATGGTAAAGAATCGATTATTAAGGTGTTCGCTGCGAACACCCTGTTTATCGATCCTTTTCCATAGGTTTAGATGGCATAACAATCGATACATCGCAATTCACGCTACGCCACTGAACACTTAGTTCTCTAAGACGAGATGCGCGGTTTCGACCGTAGACGATGCGTAAGGTCGTCCACTAGGACCTTCGGCAAGAACGACGTAAGAACGCGTCTGGATGCGTGGCACGCGGGCGGGGACTAAAAGCACGTAAGGCGATTACCATAAAAGTTTAACGCTCATTCTTCGGATCGCGAAGCGCCCGGGTTCCATCTTCTCACTGCGCTGTCATTTTTCAAATCGTCGCTCCGGTCTCGTAAGGGCGAAAGGACGTAACTCCACCCCCACATGAGCCCCAGAAAACCTAGACTCAAACGTGTAACAGGGCTCATCGCATGGTACGGTTATGTCCTTACATCAGAAGAATAGCGAGGCTCTGTTTCCTACTGAGTTTCCGGGATTCGCTCAGAAAACTCACGTGCTCTCGATTGGGTGGTGTTCGAAAAATGGGACGCATTAACGTTTCTGAGTGAGCTCTGTACAGGGTGTTTTTTAATCCTCAGTGGAGCTCATGAGCTAAACGTGGATACGAAGGCTTAGTTGCAGCCAAACGTTTCTCAGACTTGAAAAATCTGCTGATCTCATCGTGATGTCTCTCATATTTCTGCCGCGACAGACATCAATAAATTGCGGACGAGATAAACACGAACAGGATGATCCTTTGGACGGATGGTCCCAATTTGCGGCTCGGTGAAAAACCAAAACGCGGGTTTTCAGAGGTGCGGAGAAAATTCTCAAAGCGAGGTGTTTATGCTTGACGGTACTGTGTAAAAATGAATGAAATCGAAAGGAACTATGAATCGAGTATAATGCCAAGGTTGCAACAAAATTTAGAAAATGGAATTCCCTGGTTTCCCTAGCACATTTTGGTGAAATTCCTGACAATTGAAGATCTGACGGATGGTTAAAAAGGCATAATTGAAAATAGTTTTCAGGCAAAATTTGTTGCACAAAACCTCAAACCCATTCTAGAAAGCAAATGAAGGTGATTGAACGTTTTCCTGCCATTTTCGCCATTTTCCCTCATATTTCCCAGTTTTTCCTGAATTTTTAAAATTCCCTGACATTTCCCGGTTTTCCCAGATTGTGGCAACCCTGTAAAACCTATTCACATAGCGTCGTTTCCCTCACGAAAGAGCGTAACTACATTTCGATGTTGCCAAATTTCACCTCGCGAATATCATTTTACTGGGGGAATCTTGGTTATTCCTAACTGAAAATTTTACCAATTTTTCTACTGATTTCATGCAAAAATCAGGAAAAATGTAGGAAGAAAATGACATGGATTCATTCTTGTGAAAAATTAGATTGTTTGAGTCAATCTTGCAACTGCCGAATGACTTTAAGTTCCATCGTCCAGGAAAAGAATATAGTTCCTTTTAAAGTTGATGCATTTTCACATGGTTCAATTAATCGTCAATACGCCCAATGCAAGGTCTTAGTGCGGTCTGAAGGAGAAAAAACCCAAAATTTTAAAAATAAAATTGGAATGACATTTACATGCAGTGACATAAAAAAAGACAGTATATAGATCTTGGTATTTTTTTTCGATGTTAATTCTGCTAGTTAAAAAAAAAAAAATATGAAGAAAAAATGTGTGACTTTCTCCCAACCTTGCAGATGTTGGATAACTGACCGTTGGACACAAAAAGCTGAAGAGGAAAACCTCGCAATGAATTGTACCTCAGCAATTTTTCCGTTTGAGGTCGAAAAAACTTTAAAAATACCCGAAATTCATCAAATCCTAGACGACAGAACGTAAGTCTACTTCATTTTGTCAAACCTTCCCCTCGTAATAGTACTTCTTACTGAGAAATCGTTTGACATCTCAGACTGAAAAATTTACTGATTATTCTGCCAAACAGACGCACAAAAATCATTAAAATTTTGGAGAAAAATTGCATCTTACATCATTTGTATTGCATCAGTGGTCATATTTTGGAAGGAAATTACAGTGTGATTTTAGACTGGTTTCTCTTAAATCTTCAAAATCGGTGAACTTTTTACGTCATCAGGAGTCTGTTTGTTTGTTTTTGGNGGGGGGGGGGGGGAAGGGTGAGTGGTGTTGCTGTTCTATTACTTATTTTTGGATGGAGATAAATCGTCGATAGGGCCCTAGAATTAGGTAGGTAACAACATTCAGTGAATACTCGAGTGCACATTTGACTTTAATTACGCTTCATTAAGAGGGAAGATTACTTCCATTTGTA